AAAAATTTGAATAGAACTCTTGCTGTTATAAGATATTCCCATAAATCCTTTATAAAAAACTGGCGTTTTGCTGAGTAGGACATAGGAGAGTGTTTAGGCTGTTACCGATTGATAGCTATCGATACGACATTTATATTTATTATTTATCGATATTATCATCTGTTCAGACAGTTAATTTTATTTTTTATTTTCTTATACAAAATTACAAATAGTAAATTATGATTATAAGGTATTTTCGTGTTGTTTAATTTACACAAAAACATAAATGTATATGAATAAAGAGAACTTTATATAGTTTAATTTGAATGAAAAAAATAATCACCTGTCTTATGGACTAATGAATGGTAACAGTAAAATCAGGCCTGATTATATTTTATTTATTATGAATCAAATCTTTTATAATAGAACACTGCCATAGTTTAGACGTTTCGCCATAAATTTCCCAGCAAGAATCACCTCTTAATAATAATAGACATTGCTAAGTTAAAATTAATTTCAAAATTTACATTGTATTTATTAGTTCCAATTTTATATCTGTAACTATAAATTTACTTTGTTATTTTTTCTCAAATAATTAATTTCGAAGTTCTTTCCCCTTTTTTTTCTTTATAAATATTATTCATTTTTTTCCCCGAGGGAAATTTCTTTATTATTTACATATATACATATAATTATAATTTTTGCATAGGTCATAAATCATTATAATTTTGTATAGTTTAGGTTAATTGTACATTGTAATCTCTTGATTCATAATTAAATTAATATATTGTTTTGTTTTCCAATTACTTTGTCTCTTTTTTTCCCTTTCACATTTTTTATCTTATTTATTTTGTTTTAAGGGTTCAAATGATAGGCACTTCTTGAAACAGGGTTGAGACTATGTTAGTATGTTTTACAACATCGCTCTCCCCAACAGGAGAGTATTAGAAAGTTTTTATGAGAAGTAAGTGAACGACAGTGATCACTATACGTTATTTATTTCATTGAAATTGCTTACTATAGCGGCCAATCCATCTCACATTTAATATTTTATTCATATTTTAAATGAAAATGTTAGGCTTAAATTTAATGGTTTTCATTTGTATAATAAGGGCAAAAATGCACACAGTGACAGAGTTTTGACATTATTTAATTAATATACTATATTTAGCCTGGTATTTTAAGTTGAATAATAAAATTAGGTTACGTCTATACTATAAAATGTTAACTATTATCTACCTATAAACTACATATTAATGCTCAACCTTAAACAAAGTAATGGTATCTTGTTATATTTTGAATAGAAAATAGCCTTGTTATAAAAATAATACAACGAAATATTATTTTAAGAATTGAAGATTTACCTCTATTTATTTTTATTACTTATAATTAGAACCATTATCTCAGTAATAAATATCAAATTTGAAATGAAATCACAACAGATAATGTTATATCATCAGGTAATTAGTAAATCAGAATTTTAATTAAAAAAGACAAATAGATTTTTCAATTTCTGGATTTGAGAGTAAAATTTTTTATATTATTTAAATTATTGAATGTTAGTAACATTAAGGTATATTTGAATCCCTTGAAGAATTTTTTTTTTAAATTGTTTATTAATAAATTAAATAAATACTTTTGTGATTTAAATACTACAAAAATAATTTGCTGTAATCTTTTTCAAATTTCAAACAATTTTCCATTTAATTTTTTCTGACATGACGAAAAAAAAAAAAAAAAAAGGAAATGAAATATAGTAACATGATTCTTATCATCAAAACTCTACTTTGATGATAACATAACCTTGCCAACAGTTTCACTGCTTCTAGAGCAGTCAGGCCGAAGCAGCACGACGATGACATCATACCTAGACTGCTGAGTAATGCCAAAAAAAATATGCTCCATTCTTTTCCTTCAAAGTTGAACTCAACTGCCAGCAGTCACTGTCATGCAGTAAGGAGTACTAGCAAAATAGTAATTATTATTATATGGCTCAACGACCCACACTTTAAGTCTTAGAATGCTTACATATAGCAAGTATCAATAATGCATTGGTAGTAACACAGCCTTCCCATATGAGTGTAAGGTCTCCAATCGTCCGTGCTCCAACTAGTTTCTCCGATTGGATTTTAGGTGGGATTTCCTCTGGATTCATCCTAGCGATGTGGTCAGTCTATCTCAATCAAGAGAATTTAACTGAATCGACCAAGTTTAAGTCTTTGTATAGACTTCTCAGCTTGAGTTTTGTTTTTCTTCAGCGGTTTCCATTAATATACATGGCTCCATAAATTCTCAGGATTTTTTGTTTAAACTTGGACAGTTCCAGTTCCTAAGTCCTTGTTAAGTGTTCAGGTTTCAGAATTATATGTGGAAACAGATTGAATCAAAGTTTTGCATATTCTTAACTTTGTGAATTTCGACAAGTTGCTAGACAAGAGTTGCTTTTGAAATGCAAAGGAACACTGATTAGCAGCCAGAATACGGCCGTATATCTCTTATCCAATGTCACTCTGGGAGTTCATCTGGTAGCCTAAGCAGACAAATCCTCATACCACTTCTATTACGTGTGGACCCAACTGAACAAAGTCTTCCCGGATATCATACTTTGGATTTATGCATATGTACTTTATTTATCCGTGTTTATTAGGAGCCTATGCCTACTGCCCCTACTTTCAGAGCTTCAAAAGCCTCTTTGACTAACTTCGGTGTCCTTCTAGCATGGTTCAGATCGTCAGCATATCCAAGGACATGAACAGGTCTGTTTAGAGGTATCCCTGTGGTTTGAATGCCAGAGTTCCTCACAGCTGCCTCAAGATCCAAGTTAAATACATGACAGGCCAAACTATTGCCCTGATGGTCTTCCACCCTGTGTTGAAGTTTCTTGAAAGGTCCCTGAACATTCACACGCAGCACAGGTTACCCTTCATTGTCATGCTAAGTGAAATAGTACCTTTAATAAAATCCTTACCCAAAATTTGTTTTATCTTTAACAATAAACTCAAAGCTTAGACAAAGGTTTTTGATCCAATATGGCAACCAAGGCTGCTTAACAAAATCCATTAATTTCTATCCCCTACATAATTTCTCATTGTTCATTTCTACCTAATTGATCAATTATTCACAGCCAATACCAATGGTCTCTATTACTCGCTCATTTCTCAGTCTCCTGGTGTTACTCAAGGTAGTATTCTCAGTCCTATTTTGTACACAGTTTATTCATCTGACATTTCAAGCTATCCAAGCACCTTCACCATGTATGCCAATGACACATGTGTATCATCGGTTGATAATAACTCATTAATTGTATCCTAAACTCTTTAATCAAAAACCTTGAAGAACGGCGTCAAAACTGTGGACTAAAATAAATTACAACAAATCAATTTTACTTTTTGTTGTAAAGGAACTAGATGCCAGTCTGCTCTACATTATCCTTTAATAATACTTTATTTATCTATGTTAAACAGATCCACTACCTAAGAATCCACCTTGTCAAACGTGTAATTAGAATTCTTTATACAAGACTGAAATGACAAGAAACTGCTCGACATTTCTGACTACTTCAGTTCTTACTAGACAAACACTCTTGCTTCCAATTTATCACAAAAGACTTATTTCCTTTACTATAACGATGTGTATTGAATTCATCTGGTATCCAATTCTTGCAATCCAAAATCCTCAATGCTGCTTATTTTGAGACAGATAAAACATCCATAATTACCTTAATATAAATGAGTAAAAACTAACCAAGAGACAGGAAATTGATGTTAGGTTATAATTGGAAAAATTCAATCATACAGCCAAAAATAAAATAATCTGTCAATATTTCAGGCATCATCAGGACAGGAACAAAAATCAAGATCCCATTACTCCATGACATCCAATTGCAAACCGCTTAGTTGTACTCAATACAAGTAAATGTTCAATGAATACTTAAAGGCACATAGATTTCTATAAAACTGCTCTGAAGTATATTATTAACTATTATTTGATGAGAATAAATCTAAAATTAAACAATGAAATAATTTCCACAAAAGCCCAAGACCATATGTATCCCTAGATTAAATAGAACATTTTAATATAAGACTGGAAAGAAGGATATAGATTTTTTTGAGTTCATATAATCTTCCCCATCATGTGGTTAAAAGTTTTAAATACATCCACCTTATCACTTAATTTTTTCACAGCTATTGCCATATAATAAAAACTATGGTTTAAAATAATTGACACTACTGGTATATGTAAAGCACCTCAGTTTATTATAGACAAGTTTCCTCATTTTCTAAGAAAACCTTTATTTTAAAAGTGGACTGACGTTTTATATTAAAATGTATACTATCTTTTTAAAATTTCGAATACAAAAACAATAGCATAAAAATTAAACCAATATTTAATACATAGCTAACTTATAGTGCATAGTAAAAGTATCAATGAAGAGAAAAACACTCGACTAACTAACTTAAAAAAAGTACCATGCTATTGTATTTTATAAAGTTCTGTTAAAACTATTTCCTCACACAGTAAAACATAATATTTTATTAAAATAAATAATTAAAACTAAAAGCAATTTCATCAATAAAATGCATTTTAAAATTATTTGGTATAATATGGGCGGGCATTAAATACATCCAACTACAACTATGGTGAAGAATATTAAAAAGTGCAAAGAACTGGAACAATAATACCAGATTCAAGATGACATTAGAAAAATAAATAAATAAAAACAATTATTTAAAAAAATAATTACCAATTGTATAAAAGTATATAATTATTTTATAAGAACTTTGCTAATATTCAACATTAATTATTAATCTTAGATTAAATTAAACTCTAAAGTTGCAGTGGGGTCATTTCTGAATATTAATAGCCACCCAGGATAATGAAATTCTTTAATTGAAACACATAAAAACTGTACTTAAACTGGTTATAAAATAAAAATATACTGTCCTATGTAAGTCAAAATGTTAAACTATGGTCTGATTTTGGTGTGTTGAAAAAAATAAATATATTTTTTGTGTACTTACAAGGAACATTATCACCAGCACCACCAACGAATTGCCGCACTGAAAAAAAAAATAAAAATCAGCTGTCTGTTTGGGCAAGGTTGGGAGCTGTTAATACTATTAAGATGCTAATTATGATGTCCACGAATTACTAAACTTATGAGTATCCAATAGGTTTACAAAATAACAACCAAATGCATGTGAGAACTTAAAATATCGTTAAAATCAATAGCGTTATTGCATGAAAAGTAGGTAAATTTTTGTAAGTATTGCTACTTTTTTAAAACTAATAATAATATGTTGACAAATTTTTAAAATTTATAAACGATGATGATGCTGATGAGGTTCCTAAATGATAATAGCAATTTAAAAACTGAAGAACTAAATCTGTAGCCATGCAACTTTTTCAGAAATTAACTGATTTTGTAACAGGTGGATGTTATGAATGAAAAAAAAAATATTTGAAGCTAAAATGTAAAAAATAATTCAACATTTTAACACTAGGTAATATATTATTAAAAACAAACAATATCCTTAAACTTTCATATAAACATAACAAATAAAATAAAAAACAATAAAAAAATTTAAAGGTATCAGAAAAAATTAACACACTATATACTTTTAAGAAATAATAAATATATAAAATATAAAAACAAGAAATAAAATAGGTAATATGAATACTGATGTGCGAATAATTTGAAAGACAAGACATTACTAATATAAAATATACATTAAACAACAAAGCATGACAAGCTTAGGTATAACTAGAATATAAGTTTATTTAAATACAATATAAATCAGGATAACCTAAGTTGTGACAAAGAAGTTCGTTATAAAGCTAATAAATTGTTAAAAAAAAGGAAACTAAATGCTCACTTAAGGTTAATAAAAATATAAATCTTTATATTTATTCACTTAATAAATGATTAAAGAGTATTAAGTAATAATGGACATTAATACAAAATATCAGTAATTAAAGAAAAATAAGTAAGTAAAACGACACTTACAAGTTAACAAAGGTTAAAAACAATAACCATATAAAAAGTTCTTTATGACAGACTTAATAAATATGCTGAGATTTGCAGAACAATAATATATAGGGTTCAAGGAGGAAAACATCCACTGTTTGTAAAAATTTCAATGGCATGCTGACTAATTTTTTGTTGATTTTGGTAGTACTTATAAGAATAAAAATTCTACGTTAGATGGTGCTCATGGACTAATAATTCATGGAAAGTTAATAGAACTAATTAAATTAAGAAGGAAAGAGATCTATGAAGTAATAAAAATTAAGAGTTTATGTTCTCATAACCTTGATCAGGTAAGGGTATAAGACAAAGGGAGGATTGGGATGACTAAAAATTAATCCTCCCTTGTGAGAAGGGTGTAAGTAAAGCACTTTAGAAACGATGGTCCATTAATGCTCTAAAATAATAATCTATGCTGATGATGTTGACATCACTGTCAGATTTAAAAGCTCAATGAAGGAGATTTCTTTGCCTTCCATAAGTATTACTGGTACTGGTATTGGAGGAGGAACTAGTCCGGCAAGTAAGCCTTGTAATCTTTTATGTTAACCTCTCACAGATACCTCGAAGTTGCTGCTTCATATTAACCAGAGTGAGACTGTCAAGATTCATTTCTCAGGACTGCTGAGAAATAAATATCAATTTACCAAGGTGGGAACCCACACCATTCCAAATCAGACACTACGGGACTCTTGTCCCAATGTAATTGGTCATTACGACCACAAGATTAGTATTACTACTAGGACTGATCAAGACAATATAAGTATATATACTTATAGTATATATAAATAGTATTAAACTCCCACTTTATATCTGTTGCTACCTCTTCTTTACCCTCCCCTTCCAGCTTTTCTCCAGTGGTATCATTTAACAACAATAACTTTTATTTTTCCGACATTTCCCCCACACACCTCATTACCGCTATAATGAAATTACGTACCAAGTCCGTAGGCCCAGATGGCATTCCTATCAAATTAATAAAATTATGTCTCCCTGAAATCCTCGAGCAGGTAGAAAACTTCAAATACCTTGGCGCACACCTTAATGAAAATGGATACATCGATTCAGAGGTGACTAAGAGAATCGCTGCTGCGAGCAGGATCTTTGAAGCAGTTAAGAGAGGTTTTCAAAAGAGGCATAAGATGGAAAAGAAAACAAAGGTGGCTGTTTTCAGATCGACATTTCTTCCAAATTTTAACGTACTCTTCAGAATCATGGATGCTGACAAAGAAACATCAATCAAGGATAAAAGCGTCAGAAATGCGATTCTTCAGAAAGATTGAGGGGAAAACAAAAAGAGAGAGAGTATGCAACACCACCATCAGGTTGAACCTCAATATTAAGCCAGCCAATGATGTGATAGAAGAGAATTGACTGAGATGGCTAGGATATCTGGGTATGGAACCAAACAGAATAGCTAGCGAAGCCTATTGAGCTAAAGTAGAGGGCAAGAGAGGAAGAGGACAGCCTAGAAGGAAATGGGAAGATGAGGTGATGAGCGACTTCCAGAGAAGAGGTCTTCAATGGAATGATAGAAGAAGACTTGTGAAAGACCGGCAGAGCTGAAGAAGGCTCTATAAACTTCTTCCTCACACTGCTTAATGCGGTTCAAGAGGATGGATTATGATGATGAAGAAAGAATTGACAGTTCTTGAAAAACAACTTAAATAAAAAAAAAGGCAAAGGAGTAGCTAAGAGGTAGTACTATACTATATAAGTGGAAAAAAACAGGTGCGCACATCATACAATTTTCGCTTACCAACCTTAGGGCAGATAGATATTTTCATATATAGGAAAGTCAAAGTGAAAATGACAATCAATATAACTTCACATAAAACAATTAATTATCATGTTTTTCCCATCCTTCAAATCAGTTAAATTTAAACGTTTGCATCACTTTCCATTTCCTTTTACGACTGTGTATAGTATCAAACAATACTAATAATTGTGTGGAAAATGGATCTTTTGGAAAAATTCTGAGTTTTATCTGAAGCATTTATCACGAAACTCGTCAAAACAATTATTTAACATTAGTAAATATCATATTATAATTAGGTTTATATTAGTAGATTCTAAACATTTCACATTAAAACCTTTTAAACAAAATAATGGACTATAAAATTTTTTACTATAAAAGAAACCTAAATACATATATTTACGTTGAAAACTCGGATTCAAAACTTTTCACGATCGCAATATTTTGCCTTAGGATATATTTCAAATATAGGTAAGTGAACTTTTTTTTACGACTACATATTTCAATTATTTATGTGATTGTAATAAATAATTAAGTGCCATGAAATATTTTTAGCCCAATAAGATTACCGCTAATAAAGATGGCCACCATATTTTTTCATATTTCATAGTGGTATTTTTATTTCTTTTCATTGATATATGTACACATTTTAATTTTTATATTGCTGTAATCTATACAATCAAATATCAAATAATACCAACACTAGCATTTATGAAAACTGCACATGTATGTGTAATTATCATTTTATCGGAGCCAGTATTATTTTATTAAGCACGTGTTAAGTATCGAAACCTTTCTACCATGCTCGGGTTTATTTGTTTCTCTTTATGATCCATAGTTTCTAATTATTATAATTAAGAGAAGAATAGTTGGGGTGGTCAGTCAAAAAAGAAGGCAAAAATAAATGATAATATTTATTTTTACAATAAATATATTATCATTTATTTTTGCCTTCTTTTTTGACTGACCACCCCAACTATTCTTCTCTTCATTATCCACGACAGTCAACCATTTACCAATTATGTATTATTATAATTATTTATTCCTATAATTAATTATAAAATTCTTTTGTATTTTATATTTAACCATTTTTCATAGTTGATTATAATGTTAAATTGTTCATTATTTCAAATAAAAAAATTAAAGGTACGTTAGAGAAAGAAATCTTAAAAATTAGGCATTTAAGTCCTGTTAGAAAACATCAATGAGAATAAGACCTACATTATATCAAATTTTACACCAGTGTAATGAATTTAATCAAAATCGTTAAAGATATTTTTAAGAAAATCATAAAAATGCGTAAAATCAATGATATAAAGTGGCACTTCCGGTTAGCCAATTTTGACAAAAACGTTGCTGTAACATCTCAGGCATAAACCTATCTACATAATATCAGTTTCATACGACTTTGTGTTTTTGAGCTAGCACAGACACACACCATTTCGCAGGACTTGGTTATCTGGAATCAGGAGACATGTATGTCTGTTGAAAACTCAAATTTGAAAATTTTCACGATCGCAATACTTTCCCATACTATACATTACATATATAGATAATTGAAAGTACTATGTATTACATATACAGATAAGTGAAAGTACTATATATTACATATATAGTTAAGTGAAAGTACTATATATTACATATATAGATAAGTGAAAGTAAAAACAAAAAAAAGCAAACATTTAACATAACTTCACTTCATTGATTTTAAAAATAAAATTAGCAGAGCTTGGTATAATAAATTAAAACTAAAAGAAATGAAGCAGAACTTCTGATAAGAAAGTAAAATGACAGAAATCAGTAAACAGTAAATATATTAATTACTGCTCACATAAGCATGGATTTTTAAGTTTATCATTTTTAATAATTATATTAATTAAAACATCAATATTTTTTTTTTCACTATCTTCTTCCATCCTCCTCTATTCCAGGAGAGCATTCACCATCTTCGGATCCCATCCTATCCGGATATTTTATATTTAACCCGGATAAAATATCCCATCCTATCCTCATATCCAGATCCCACCTTGTTCAGCCATCTCAGGCAGTCATCCTCTTCCACATTTTTCACCAGGGTGATCCTCCAACAGGAGTTCGGAAATAGCATCTCATGGCATATTTGCTACACGACCCAACTATCTGATCTGGTCACCTCTCAAAATTGAGACCAAATCTAGCCTCTCATACATTTAGCGCAGCTCTTAATCAGTACGATTTCTCCACTATCCATGCTTACATAGCGGACCATAGATCCTACGGAGAACCCTTCTAAGCAAGCTGAATTCCAATTTGTAGTATAATTTTAGTTTTCAACTTTTATATTACACTGAGTTTTTATTGGTTAATTATCCGAAGATCTAATTTACATCAATAGATTTTCTCCATGGTACATAGAGACCCAAGTCCTTCATAACCTGAGCTGTTTTCTTATAAGACTCTATCCCACCTGCCTGTCAGTCACCAAAAGCCTCTTTGGTCAAATCCCTTCTTCTCATCTATTCTAAATAATTGTTATTATATTATAAACACATTCATTTCTATATGTTATTCTCGAATTACTCAAAGTAGTTCGTATTGTTATTGTAATTTTCCTGTTCTTTTATCCTTCGTTTATTCTTTTAAATTATATTTTTAAATATATATATTTAATAAATATATACATATTTCCTATTTCAGCATTTGTTCTCTGCTATCAAATATTATATCTGAAAACTAATCCAAAAATTCTTTGAAGGATCAGCCTCTCAAATCTTGGTAGCATTAGTTCTTGAGCTTGAGAAATCACCCAGCACTCAGAAACATAGGTCAAAACAGGTCTTATAAAGTTGCACTTAGGAGATCCATGAGAGACAATTACTTTTGAAGTGCTTTAAGAGCCTTAAATCGCACCTGTTTGCGATATATTTATTTTTTGTGTCATTCAAAATCAGACCTACTCTTTGTGCATTTAGCTACATTAAGTTTGAATAAAATATGGTCCAAATGATATATACCAACAATTTGTTCCAAAAGGACTTCATTTCAGATAACTAAGTTATTTTTTTATTTCATTTAATGTGGAGTAAGAATGTAAATGGGAGCTAATTAATAACACAATTCGTAAAAACAATATTCAATCATGTTGACGATAATAGTAAGAACAAACAGTTAATTATGGTTCATTAATTATTTTAGAACTGAGTGGAAAGTAGAACTATGGTACCATGAACCTAAAATTATTTAAGGGATAATAATATCAGGGAGATGATACAATACAATCATAACACTGGGGAAAAAGAAGAGTCTAATTCTTATTATTCGTCAAAGGTAGGTTTATTTTTTGTTATACAACCAACGGATTAAAAAATTAGTAATTTATTTTTATAATGTAAAATTCTTATGTTCATAAAATAATAATAAGAAGAAGAAAGGATCAATAAATTGAATTTTTAGTTCAACTATTGTAAAATATCACAATGTTTGAAATCAGTTCCATTGCTTTTAGAGATCATTTGTAAATACTACACATAAGTTTTACATATTTAACTGACAGTAAAGTGATAACTCCATGCTATAAAATGTATATTTCATGCTTTATTTAATGAATAAGAATTTCTTTTACAGTGCGAGTCCAGCAGCTCTCTCTAAATGCCATGCTAATGTGTATAATTTTGTTTTTAAAAAGCAATTTACATGCAAAAATAATGTCCTTGAGACAAAACACATATCGGCAAACTAATATATTATATGATTACAGTATATTTTAGAACTATTATATTAAATAAACAAAACTGTTTTATTACTAATATTACCCTATAAATGTTAACCCTATTTATTAAAGTTTATTTTGAAATCAATTAAAGTATCCGACTGTAAAATTAATTTATGAACAGTCCATATCACAAGGAGTCTACAAGTAACAAAGTACACTACTATCAATCAACCATATTTTGATTAAAATACACCAACATAAACAATAAAGTCAAGTAATTTCAAAATAACTCTAAGAAATTCAAATGGTTTATAGATAGACAATAATAATAATTTTTGTTATAGTTATTTATTTATTTTTTATTTTACAATGATACAGAAAAAAACATAAGTTCAAATATTCGCACACCTCTTTTATACCTTTTATATGAATTAAAATAAAAGAAAAAAAAAAGAATAAAAGAAAAAGAAAAAAAGAAAATTATGAAATTAAAAAAAAAAAAATCACCTGTTATATTGTCACACAGTATTCTTGATGTTATAATTCTACCAAATGGACTAAAAAGGTTTTCTAGATCTTGCTGTGCCATATTTTTGGGTAGCCCACTAACATATAAATTTGCGCCTTTTATAGCTTCACTACTAGGACGAGCAAATGAAACCTTAAAAAAAATTTAAATAAGATGTTGATTTCTAAATATATTTTGAGTAAATGAATGGTAGGACAATACCTTGATTGTTTTATTCTGTAAGCGAAGACCATTCAATGTATTTATGGCTTTTTCTGCATCTTCTGGTCTATGATAATTAACAAATCCATACCCCAAACTCTGACCTAAAATTATAGAAAGAAAATATACAAACTAATTTAACATTAGTTTTACATTAAATAAAAACAAAGACGTTATAAAATTATTGATAATTATGAAAGTAAAAAAGATTAGTGCTAAAAGTGCTAATTAAATCCTCATTTTCAGTTCTCATAAACTTTGTTTTTTAAAAATGATAGTTGGATTATATTCCTTTAAAATAAATAGATTGGGAAATAGCAAATAGAATAGCTAAAGACAACCAAATCTATTATAGTATTTGCAATAGCCTTGTTGGCCATCGAGATGTGGAGTATAAAACCAAGCTTCATATGTACAAATCAGTATACCTCTCTACTCCTATCTACGGGAGCGAGAGCTGAGTCATGCTGGACAAGCAGAATAACAGGCGCCAAAATGAAGTACTTACATAGGGTCGCAAGAAAACCAGAAATGGTCACATAAGAAATGAAAGGGTTACAGAGGAGCTGAAAATTCCTCCACTAAAATCCACCCTTGAAAAAGAGACAAAAAAAAAAAAAAAAAAAAAGACTACCTACTGGCAAGAGGCCACACGGAAAGCTAAGGATTTTATATTAAGAGTGTATCCAAAGGATTGGAGGAAAAACTCTCCAACAAATGAATCAGCTCTGCAAGGACCGTGAGGCTTGGCAGCATTGGAAAAAACCTTCTTTTTTTTAAAGAGCTATAAGCCTAAACTAGTTAGGAGCAGCCGAATATATTACATCATGTTAAGCTATGTTTACAAATTACCCAAAGCATGAGCATAAGCGCGTAAAAGAGGCCTTTCATTTTGTCCTGCATGGTTCCCTGTTTTCACAACTGATCTATCTACAGTTAATTATTGTGCCCAAAGTAAAGAGAGCTTGCAAAAATCATCATATTTCAGGGTCATGAAAGCTGAGTATAATGAGTGGTTGCCCACTTTAACATTCTGAATCCGGTTCAAATCTGGCCTCGACGGGTTAAAATTTATTTTGTGACAGGCCCATGGAATGATTCTCGTCCTTCTCACTCTGGTTTGGTTCTACCTCTAGAACAAACCCTCCCCCCATATGCCATAAACGATGAGGAGGTAGGGGATAATAAAAGAAAATATCATGTAAGTGATATATAAAACATATTTGTTCAAGATTTCAAAAGATATTCACATTAATGCTCTAGTTAGGTTTATCCAGAGTTTGTATGCATTTATAGCATTTGGAAAACGTGTAGAAAACCACTTACAAAGCATTTTACTTTGGGAAAAGTGCAATCGTGGAAGAAGCAGCTATTTTCAGCTATACAGATAACTCCTAAAAAAAAATTATTTGTGGCTCATTCTTGATGGAATAGTTTAGTTTCATGAGTTTCAAGGCTTTACTAAAACTAGCTGGTTATGCACTGTAATCATTATTACATATGTCGGTGTCCAAAATCAGAATGTACTTGACCAAATATGACAACACTTACTAAAACATGACCTTGATTCTATATTAGTAATGACAAATGAACCAGAGATAGAGATATGTACAAATGAGTTAAAACGAAGCTGGATGCTTTTGGTACATTTGCTATATTTGAAATCACCTAGATACCAATAAATTCACAACAACTGTGGACTTGTTATACAGAATTCAAACAAAATAAATATCAGCTGAACAAGATTGAAATTCAAGCCATATACAGAAATCAAGAATGTATCAAATAATAATGAATTCAGTACAAGCCTACTCCTAAATAGTATTGGCTGGAAGACATATTCTTTATTAATGTCTAACTGCACATACTACCCCAACTGATCTTCAGTGTGACAAGATAGTCGAGTTTCTGACTGGGCATCTCTGCCCTAAGAAAAATCCGTTGGTTGAGTGCCACAAATTTCTATCAAAGTCTAGTCACAGAATGAATCAATATATTATGTTGCATCTCTTAATTAAAACATTTACTGTACATTGAAATTTCTACTTTGAGAGTAAGAAATCTATTTCAAATATTTTCTAATGCTCCCAATTTATTAGGTGCATTTGAGATTCATCGATACACGAACAACTTCTTATGTATCCGGGTACTTTTGACTATGTTCTCAAAATAGCCCTCGCTTAAAAAAAGGATTAAAAAAAAACCCATGAAATTTCTAATCATCAGGAGGATTCGTCTATTGTTACTAGAGTTTACACAGCAAATAGCCCCATTGGTCTCCCTCAATAGTAGCAAGAGGTAATTGAAGACGTTCTTTTTCAGATATTACCAAGAACTTGGAATAGATAATTTATATCTCCGCTATGATAAGGATAACCATGTCTCAGTTGTGTTAGCCGAGATAGGTTACAATGCCAGACCTGTTTTCAACAAGGTCATGTCCAGAAAGTACGCATTAAAACTCTCCTTCTAAAACGCCAAGGAGTAAAAACAATTTCTTCAAGTTCCGACTCGGAATCTAGTTCTCTAGGTGGAGTAAAACTTTTAAAGGTTTATTATGGTATGATAATGATTGACCGTAATTATAATTTGAGAAGTTGGTCAGTGGTGCGGTCAATATATAATTATTTATCAGCACTTAAATAAAATAGTGGATGAATATAAATAAGTATTGATTCAATAATTCAAGTATTGATTGAAGGTAAATCAGGACTCAATTAGATGAAGTTTCCACCCATGCAAGACACTCCAGTACAAGATCATCCTCAATGCCATCGATTGAACATGGGAGATAAGAGTGCAGGTGAAATGGTTTATGAAAAATAAGAAAGAGAGGAAATTTGGAACAATCGAACAAAAAAGAGGGCGATTACACTATAGTGTAAAGCTTGACTTTTATCATCTTAAAAGGCACATAGACCAATTTCAAGCAAGTTTGCATAGTCACAAAGGCATCGGAAGCTCACTCCCAAATAAAGCAATCACCTAATAGCAGGCTATCCTTACCCTTTGCCAGTAAATGGCAACCTGATGGTAGTCTTGAAGACACTCATCAATCTCAAATTCCAGCACCTGTGGCAGCTCCTGCACCACGAAACCCAGTAACTCCTATTATTGCATCGGAAGATGTAAGAAACTCCCAATCTACACAGATCTAAATGTCAACGGAGACTACCTTTCTATCAGTAAGATTACATTTGTGCCTTAACTCCGCTCATTCAAATTTATGTGTGGGAGATTGTTAGTGTTTTTATATTTTTCTAACCTATTTTTAGCTCTTTGGAAATTACCATATATTTTTGTATTATATTGACTAACCTTTTCTGGTTATTATTATTTTCTATGTTTTTGAAGAATAAATTATGTTACTACCCAGAAATTATATCATCACTTATCACACTGTGATTCTAGATTTAATCTTACTAGTAAGACACAACATTAAGTTAGATGTATGTTTTAATATTTCCCAACAAAATGCCTCAATCCTTCACAGGTTTTGCTGATAATCCAATATCATGAAACTATATCACTTTGTGTGGTATATTTTTTATATTCTGGTTGTATTTCAAACAATGTTCGATTTAAATCAATCATTTTTTATCTCTAGCTTTAAGTACTAACGGCTCCACCAGGTTAAAGCAGCTCAAAATAGATCAGATCCATGTTCGACATTCTTCATTTCACACATAAAAGTTACCACTTTTGAATTTTTTAAATCACTCACAAAACATTTTTATTTACAAAGCGCATGCTCACCATAACCTTCAACTATTATTCAATGTGATTCTGCACCAGTTTCCTTTAAATGGTAACAGAAAACTAATGTCTACAAATCATAATTTGTAGGCATGACATGTTCAACACTATTAATACAATGCTTTTACATGAAACTTGTATTGTTGTTAGTAGAAAATCTTTGCAAGATGTTCAAACAAACAAAGATCGAAGAAACAAAATGATATTTGATAGTAACTACAGTAACAAATAGAACCATCTTGGGATGAATCCTGGTTTCAGATTAACACATCTGGTACTTTCGGACACACTCGGCCATTTTCGGAATTCTATCTACGGTGTAATCATGATATCTTATGCCCACCCATGGTGCAGAAACACTTTAGAATTAGTACTGAAAAATTTATACCAGAAATATATGTTAAATTTAGCCAATTTGTGATATACACGCCAATAATATTAAATATATTAAAATTCAATACATCATAAAGGAAAAAAATATCAGTTACATATGCTCAAACTTAATTTTAAAAGCAACTTCAAGCCCTTACTAAGGTTTAATATTATCAAAGTGAAATTATTCACATTTCTTACTAGTTTTAAACATTAACAGAAATTTTTTTTAACAAAATGCAATGAATCTTACCTGTTACTTTATCCCTTATTAATTTACAGCTTTCAACATCTCCAATCGAGGAGAAGAGTGACCTGATCTCTTCTTGGGTCATTGTTTGTGGAAGATAATTAACGATCAAATTTGTTTTGCTTTCTTCTTGGTTCGTGCCACCTTGTGAAGATGAATTGTGGGAGTTACTTGAGGATGAGGTGGAATTTGTGTGAATAGAACCATTTTGTTGGGGAAGAGTGTCCATACCATTCATCATTCTTTGATGAGACTGAAACAATACAAACACCAATGAGAATTTAGAAAATAAAATACCAGGTAAGACCAATGGTTTTATGAATCATATAATAAGTTATTTACTTTATTAACTGAAATTCTAACTAAAAGTTACTTTAAACTGTCATGTCATGTAGAAGTTTTTCTAGAGAAAAAAAGTTTTGTACCTTGACATAACACGGGAAAAAATTAATGAATTCAGCAATAAAATATTGTAACTGCTATGCTAAAATACAACATCAACAGCATCCTTTTCGTAAATGTATTGTTATTATTTAAAGTGTTCAATACAAGTACACATTGAAACCTACTTAAGGTTTACTACAAAAATATCGAAAGTGAAGAAATCGATACATGGCGGTTTAGGTGTTGATTATAGTTTATAATTTTACACAAACCGTTATTAATATTTAGAATAATTCTCAATAATCCATTCACCTAATACTTACCTCCCAAAAGGACTTATTTACGAGTATTTAAAACTAGAATAAACAAATGTAAACAGTTATTTTACATAAGGGTTTGTGATACAGGATATATTCAGCTATGTATAATTATTAAAAACTATTTTTTATTTGTTAAACAATAACCATGATTAATTCACTACTACGTAGGAAATACTTATAGCATAACCACGGTACTAGTTCCTAGGGATGGGCGATAGTTGAAAGTTTAAACTATCGATAGTCTTATTGACTATCGATAATACGTGTCCTCCCCTTAGACACAAATTATATTAAAATTTTATGTACTTAAAGGAATAATTTTAATAACCGAACTTTATTCTTCCACCCATTTATTGATATACTAGATATAGTGATAATATAACAAAATAAAGTTAAATGTCAAATAATGTAAAAAAAGTAATGTAACAATGTTTGATGGTGAAAAACGGTTGTTGTATAACGGAAACGCCACATTAAGAAAATAAATAGATAGAAGTGTGAAGGTGTGTTTAAAACTATTGTTATCAATATATAAAATTAAAGTGAAAATTGAACAAGAAGCTTTCAAGATGAAAAAGAAGACAATTCAAATTAGTTCCTTAGAAATATTTTTACAACCCCAGTTGTGCCCATGGAAAAATTGTTAGATTTACCTCACCTTTTTATTATTTTTTTTTCTCATAAAAAAATATAATTAAATAATCAGAAGGATGCCATTACAGTTGCATTATATTTTAAACTAGGTATTATTATCAAATTAAATTTGGAATCTTGGAAATTAAAGGACACATTTCTCGTCAGTTCATTAACTTATGTTAATGGGTTAAGAAGTAAAATGAATTTAATTTTATGCACGAAATTAAGTAATAAAAAGTGCATACATTTTTAGAAACTATAGGAAAACTTTCTATAAAAATTAAAATAGTAAAATCAGTTTTTAAAGGACACAATATTCCTATCATTATTAAAATTAAATGGAAATCACATTATTATGACTTTATCTATTACGATATACAATCGAAATCAATACATTTAAAATTTTTATTTTTATTTTGCATTTATTTTTCGATGTTATTTATAGACAAATATTACCTCAATAAATTTTTTTCCCATTATATATTTCTAATATTGTTTATAATTATTGTGTTTATATATTGCCTGTTTTTGTTTTTTTTAAGTTCGAGATCTATCATTATTAATGATTTTCAGTTTGGTTATCCTAAATTAAAGAAGTTGATTAACTTAAGTTTTGTTTCAATTGTGACACTTTATCTGTAATTGTATTATTTATAAGAAGAAAGTTAAAACAATTTCAATTTTTGTTTCCCACCAATGATAATCACAAACCCCTGTACTTTTTCCGATCAGTAACCACAATAACTAGGAATAACAATATTTAGAAAGTTAGGAATCCAATTAAAATCCATTTAAATGTTCAAATGGAAAGTAAAAACTGTATTCAACAAGACTATGATGCAAAAAGTTAAAGTAATTTATAAAACGGCGTGATACTAGAAAAATAATAAATGAAATCCTAACACATTACCTATGTACAATATTAATACAATTAAGGATGAATTAAACAATTGACAATTTTCTATAAGGGATTTAATGCTGGCTGAGGGTTATCTTTTTCAATTATATGTTACTTAACTATTATTCTATCAATCAAACTGATTTTCAGTCTAATGAGGTATATACTGGCATTACTACATTCTAAAGAAAATGTTTGATTAATAGAATATATATAAAAAATATAACCATAAACAATATTAGATATGATTACTTTAATGAAAAAAAAAAAAAAAAATGAAATTGTAATATCTTAAAATGTTGATAACATGGAAAATCTAATAGGTGTTCAATCGATATTTATTTCCTATGAAGGGAAAATGGTAGGAAAAGAAAGCTAACTTTAAAAAAAAGCGAGTAATGTAAACCTTAACGATATAATTTCTATATTTACTTAAAATGAAGGTGAGGTGGAGGAGACAAGACTACCCCTCCGTAATAGTGGCGCTACCTGGTGCTATCTGTAGTAAACCTTATCTAAAACATTTTGGATAACCTGGCATCAACCAAGATGACTGAAACAGTAGTGCTTCGGAACTAGTACCCATAATTATTCCCTAAAAAACTTCAGTTCACTCTGAAATACTATACTGCAAACACTAAATTATAATAATGTTTTATGAAAAATATTATCTCTAAAAGTATTATTGTTCGTCTAATTAAAGTTAATAGCAGCTAAAGAATCACTGAAACACCATTTCATGTAGGTGCTTAGTTTCTTCCTTTCTTCCGAGGTAATTATCGTAATATATATATATATATATTCTTTCGGGCTGAAGCCCCTCCCAAAATTAAATCCTAAATCCGTTAGTGCCCGGGACCGCACAATGGGGCGAACTAACACTGCTGTTGGACATTAGAAGAGAAAAAAGGTAGAATTTGGAAGTTTTACTGCAATAGTGACAAAATAATATTGCTCCCTCTTCATGTCCAGCAATTTTTAACTTGACTATCGCAATTCTCGATCAATCTCCGCTGGGTTTAGTACCAGTGACGCGGTTGAGAGTGTTGCGCAGGGATCTCCTGGTTTCCTGCATTTCCCTCCATAGTTGGAGGGATAAGCCTATCTCGGAGTTCCCTCCCCTCGAAAATAGTGTATACAGGTATGTATTTATTTTTTGAATTTCCTTATTTTTAAGTTATTTTATTTTATTTATTGTAT